TTTTACATACGAGGAAGCAGATGCTTAGAAAAGATTAAATACCTTGACAGAAGTTACCTGACTAGTGGCAAGACTCATAGTAGGCCTCATGAATTATTCCATCATGGCTACAGACCACTTGTGCCAAAATCAACTACAGTGCTTATTCATGTTGAAGCTTCCTGTGCCACAGCTCAAACTCACTAAATCCAGTCTTTGAGAATGGAACTCCAGAAGATTCTGTGCACAAAGTTGAGAAGTGATGCATGTTGCCCCCAATGAAAGAGGCCTTCAGTCTAAATGACTATAAAATGGATGTCAATATACTTCAAATAGAAATGCCCATTAGTGTTGGCATCAATCAGCTTAAAATAGCTTACATATGCTCACTCTCCCTCTTCTTCTGTATCATGTTAGGGGATATAAAATAGAATTTGCTACAAGCCAAGATTTACTCTCTACACAAGAAAATTTTCCGACCTTCAAGCTTTGAACTCAATATCCTCACTCCTATTTTAACCCTGTCAATGAGCACTTCCTAATAGGAACCCTCCTCAAATTCATTAATCAAACAGGATCTTAAATCCTGTTTTAGAAAGAAAAGGGGTAAATGAATACTATTCATTCAGCAGTGCTGCCTTTCTCCCCAGGAGACAGAACCACTCCATCTCTCTCCTCATGGACCTCACTTACAAAAGAACAATTTGACTGTTCACTGTCACAAATTGCAGCCCTTGCCTTCTACAAGGCCAATTTGAATGCTGAGTCCCTTGTCACTAGATAAATCTGAATAAAAATACTTAAAAGAAATGTACTCACCATGTCTGACCAAGAGGAAAGTGTAACTGCATCAGAATAAGGAAAGAAGAGGATTTTTAGTACAAGTTTACTTATAAGGGTAAGTACAAAGATTTAAAAGGCTGATCAGATTGCAGCATTCACTCATTTGCTCAGACAAATGATACAAATAGCAGTGAAATCCTGTACAGGCAGACAGAGCCCTCCTTCTGAGATGCTCAGTTTCTACAGACATGACCTTAATGGCTCATAACAGGAATTATCATTCCTGACTCACATATGGGAAAATCAAGGTGAACTATGGCATTCTTCAAGACCCTCCAACAGTATCCTTTGTGGGAAAAAAAACTATAATAACACTGATCATAACAATAGATTATATTTTAGTATTGAGACTTATGACAAATATTCTGCTTTGTACTGAAAGAAACTTTCTCAAAAATGGTCTTATGGCTATTTATAAAGAAGTTCCAAAATATTCAGATCAATAAGCAGTAATGAATCAAAAATAAAAAGATTTTAGTACAGTTCTTTTCAACAGTTAAGAATATGTCAACCAGTAATCTCTCTCCCTCTTTCCTCAGCCTTTCTTTCTTTTTTTTTCTTTTAGAGAGAGGAAACTCCAAAACATATGGCCCAGGAAGAAAATCTGTACTTGTTTAGAGCAATGAACCGGTTTTTACATCTCTGCAGTTAGAGTACGCAAATGACTTCACAGGCAACAGCTTCCGTATGTTTCATATTTTTAACATTGACCGTTCATAATAAAGATTCTTTGATCCCAGATCAAATGTTTGAATCAATTTTCTCTCCACTCACTGAGTCACCATTATAAAAAATAAAAATAAATCCCCTTTCTCCACCTCAGGTATGCCAGCCCCTGCCACCATCAGAGCCATCTCCACGAGTCTCCTTTCCTGAGATGCTTCTCACCATCAGAGCCATCTCCACAGGTCTCCTTTCCTGAGATGCTTCTCACCATCAGAACCATCTCTATGGGTCACCTTTCCTGGGATGCTTCTCACCATCAGAGCCATCTCCACGAGTCTCCTTTCCTGGGATGCTTCTCACCATCAGAGCCATCTCCACAGGTCTCCTTTCCTGAGATGCTTCTCACCATCAGAACCATCTCCACGGGTCTCCTTTCCTGGGATGCTTCTCACCATCAGAACCATCTCGCAGGTCTCCTTTCCTGGGATGCTTCTCACCATCAGAACCATCTCGCAGGTCTCCTTTCCTGGGATGCTTCTCACCATCAGAGCCATCTCCACGGGTCTCCTTTCCTGGGATGCTTCTCACCATCAGAACCATCTCGCAGGTCTCCTTTCCTGGTATGCTTCTCACCATCAGAGCCATCTCCACGGGTCTCCTTTCCTGGGATGCTTCTCACCATCAGAACCATCTCTATGGGTCACCTTTCCTGGGATGCTTCTCACCATCAGAACCATCTCCACGGGTCACCTTTCCTGGGATGCTTCTTACCATCAGAACCATTTCCACGGGTCTCCTTTCCTGGGATGCTTCTCACCATCAGAACCATCTCCACGGGTCACCTTTCCTGGGATGCTTCTCACCATCAGAACCATCTCCACAGGTCTCCTTTCCTGGGATGCTTCTCACCATCAGAACCATCTCCACGGGTCACCTTTCCTGGGATGCTTCTTACCATCAGAACCATTTCCACAGGTCTCCTTTCCTGGGATGCTTCTCATCATCAGAACCATCTTGCAGGTCTCCTTTCCTGGGATGCTTCTCACCATCAGAACCATCTTGCAGGTCTCCTTTCCTGGGATGCTTCTCACCATCAGAACCATCTCCACAGGTCTCCTTTCCTGGGATGCTTCTCACCATCAGAACCATCTCGCAGGTTTCCTTTCCTGGGATGCTTCTCACCATCAGAACCATCTCGCAGGTCTCCTTTCCTGGGATGCTTCTCACCATCAGAACCATCTCCACAGGTCACCTTTCCTGGGATGCTTCTCAACCCTTTGCTGAAGCTCTGACCTCTGCTCATTAGCATCTTCTACAAAACAGGTCTGGTAATAGGCATTATTTGTGCATAATAAGTGAACTACAATGAATACAATTCCTCTAAACAGTTCATAGGAAGTTTTAGAAAATATGAAGCTCATGGTAACATGGATAGCTAAAAAAAAAAAAAACTAATACTAGGCAGGAACTAGTGGCTCACACCCATAATCTTAGCTATTCAGGAGGTTGAGATCTGAGGATCATGGTTCAAAGCCATCTCAACCAGGAAAATCCTTGAGATTCTTAAAAGCTGGAAGTGGAGCTGTGAGCTCAAGTGGTATAGCACTAGCATTGAACAGCTTATGGCTGATACACACATACATACACACACACATACACACAACAACAACAACAGCAGCAATAATAATAACAAAAAGAAACCTTTTTCCATCAGGGAAATATTCTCAATAGGTCAAATCTTTGATTACATTAGAAAAAAATACCTTTTTGCAAACTAATTTATATTCAGCCAGGTGCTGAGGGCTCACACCTAGCTCCCCAAGAAGGTGAGATCTGAGGATCAACAGTTCCAAGCCAGCCTAGACAGAAAAGTCTATGTGAAACCCTAATCTCCAGCAGTTAACTAGCAAAAACACAGAAGTAGAGTTATGGCTCAAGTGGTAGAACACCAGCCATGAGGGAAAAAAGCTAAACAAAAACTCATGGCCTTAAATTCAAGCCCCAGTACTGGCACATGTGCATGTGCAAGTGTATACACACACACACACACACACACACACACACACACACACACAAATCAAATCTAGGTTATACTTCCAGAATTAAAGCCAGAAAAATAGACTGATACCTAATGTCTTTTTTTTTTTTTTTTTGTCGGTCCTGGGGCTTGAACTCTGGGCCTGGGCGCTGTCCCTCAGCTCTTCAGCTCAAGGCGAGTGCTCTACCACTTGAGCTACAGCACCACTTCCGGTTTTCTGGTGGTTTATTGGAGATAGGAGTCTCAAGGTCTCTCCTGCCTGGGCTGGCTTTGAACCGCGATCCTCAGATCTCAGCCTCCTGAGTAGCTAGGATTACAGGCATGAGCCACCAGCGCCCGGTGATACCTAATGTCTTAAATAAAAACATTTAAACTTGGAAGTCTACATGAATTAAAACATTTATTAGAAATTTTTTTAGACAATACTAAATTTTTAGAATATCCCTAACATATTTTTCAAATGATTTCAAAGGGGCTGGGAATGTGATTTAGAGATAGAGTGCTTGCCTAGTATGTATGAAGCCCTGAGTTGGATTCCTCAGTACCACACAAACAGAAAAAGCCAGAAATGGTGCTGTGGCTCAAGTGGTAGAGTGCTAGCCTTAAGCCAAAGAAGCTCAGGGACAGTGCCCAGGCCCTGAGTTCAAGGCCCAGCACTGGCAAAAAAAAATTATTTCAAGAATGTTTTTAAAGACTTCATTGCACTGGGCACTGGTGGCTCACACTTGTAATCCTAGTAACTCAGGAGGCTAAGAACTGATGGCTAAAGTTCAAAGCCATCCACAACAGAAAAGTCCATGAGACTCTTACCTCCAATTAACCAGCAAAGATCCAGAGCTGTGAACCAGAACCAGAAGTAGAGCTGTGGCTCAAGTGGTAGAGCACCAGGATGGGTGAGAATAACAAGTGAGAGTATGAGGCCTTGAGTTCAAACCCCAGTACCAACATAAGTAAACAAACAAATAAATAAAGGCTTTGTTGAAGAGAAAAAATTCAAATGATGTCTAAAATGCTTGAACATGAAGTTTTGCAGAAAGATATTCATTAACCAGGTTAATTTGAAAATAACTAAGTTTTAGATTTTCTAGTGGCAAATAAGATAAAGTTAGGATTCATTTAAATTTAGTCCTAAATAAACTTCATATGGAGGAACAAGAAAAGAAGAGAGGGAAGTGAGAAGAAAAGAAGAAGACCCTTAGTATTTAAAAAATCCTTTAAAATTCATTTCCTGGCTCTCCCCCTTTATTTAACTAGTAGACAGATCAAAGCCAGGCAACTTAAGCGATTGTGATACATCAATTCACAATATAAATAGGTCCTACATTTTAAAAAGTAGAATGCTAATTTAGTCCCAGTCTTTTACCATTTGTTTCCCCATTTATAAATACGAAAGTGGTCTACTCTTACATGCTGACATGTAATAGTAAGTGAACTGTTGTACTTATCACCCTTATATCCAATGTTTGTATATTACCTTGCACACTGTGGCAAACTGTTGGTTATTTCCTGCTCCAACTACAAGATAGCCATCCTTGGTTTTAAAGGCCTAAAAAGGAAAATCCAAAAGTAAATATGCATTTATATGTTAACAAGACCACAAAAAATACTTTCATATCAGTGTATAAGAAGCTTGTTCTAAAGCAAAGTTATTAATTCAATATCAGCTCATTAGTATCTTAAAGTCTATATTGCTATATAGATTCAATAAATATGTTAAGTGGTAGATCTACTGGAGTTGTAATGCACTGACTATGGTCATTGAGGGTGGAAGGATAAGAGAGAAGAAAATGCTTCAGATGACATGTGGCTTTCTGAGAGGCTTTCAAGATAGTCCAGTAGAAATCTCTTTCACATAATTATGAGCCAGATGGAAGTCTGAATTACAGGTAAAACCTTGCAAGCATTTGCTTCTAGTCTGTACTGAGGGTATTGCATAGGTGAAATTATCTACAAAACAAAACAAAGAAAAAAAACACATAGAGTGAGGGGGGAAAGGACATACAGTGAGAAAGCTGGGGCCAGGAAAGAGAGAAGTAGCCGGAGCTTAGGTGGGGACTGAAAGAGCCTCCACATTGGTCTTCCATGACCTCAGCAAAAGCTGCACCGCTGTCACCAAGCCAACAGATCCCAGTTTGGAGTAGACAATGGGCTATAAAAAGCATTGAAGGAGAGGAGAAGGCCCATACAGCCCTCCATCTGAAAAATCCAGTTGTAAAGCAGGGAACAAAGCCAAGACCTCCAGCCCAGCACACTCACAGTCTCAGAGGGAGGTCCCCAGGGGTTGGGGGCACAGTTCCACCAAATGCTTCCACGTCCTTCTTAAATAAGAAGAAAGGTCATCAACTGGGGGTAGAGCTACGGAGAGATGAGACTGTCAGGATGAAGAGTTCTGATGGATCACTGAAGAGCATGGTAGGCAGGCCAATGGCCAGAGAAACCCAGTCAGAAGGCTGACAAGCCAAAGAGCCCAGATGAGAGATTTTCTCTACCACCTCTCTACTACCCAGCCATAGATTCAATGTACTCTTGTACTCAGTGGGTTTAGATTTTTGTCAGATGAGTTGGGAAGAAAAAAAGATACAGGTGCAGGGAAATTAGAAACCTAGCCAGAATATCATTAAGCAACAAGCCAGGGTCTATGTGTCTGAAGATGAAGGTGGTAAAGAGAGGTAACAGTATGAACAGAGCAAAGGAACAGCACAGGAAGGCATCTGATGGAATCAATGAGGTCTTGATGGGAGAAGCTAAACACAGGGCAGAAGAACAGGATGCAGTAGTGGTCAGAATTCAAAGGCTTCACATAGTGATCATAGAAGCAAATCAGGTTCAGGCTATGACCAGAGCACCTCAGTGTGATGTGCTATGTGAAAGAAACTAAGCATCAACACTATAAAATTATCAAATCCTTGGTCCCACATGAAAGGAACTCCTAGTGTACTATAGTCTCTCATGTCCTGATATCCTGGCCCTCACCAAATCTACAGACTCTTCACTCTCTATGGTGCCTCATTTTCCACCTCAGGCAAGGTAAGTGACAAGATGCCACACACACCCATCACAAACAGACCTTCCCTTGAAGGGACAGCTCCAACAAAAAGCCTGTCGTGGAGCTGTAAACACTCATGGCTGGATGTTCTTGTTGGAAGGAATCCCAGCCTCAGGAAAGAAGAAGCTATGGCTTCTGTAGGAAATAATAGGCAGATCAAACTATAAGGGTAAGATCAAAGACAAAGCCTACAGACAAGATTTTATTCTACTTGGGGAAAGAAAGCTTTCTCACCATGAAATGTCATTATTCAACAGTGACAAGATTCACTGGTGAGAACACCAAACAGAAACTCCCAGGATACTTTTCTGGAGAAGAAGGTTTTCTAAGACCTTCTTTTATTTTATTGTATTGCAAAGATGCTGTACAGAGGGGTTACAGTTACATTCATAAGGCAATGAGTACATTTCTTGTCAAGCATTGTTACCCGCTCCCTTGTTGTTCTCCCTTCCCTCCCCTACCTTCTTCCCCCCTAAAGTTGTAAAGTTCATTTCCAACATACTGTAAGACCTCCTTGATTAATGTTATTCAAGCAAGGAACTGGCTATTTCAACAAGACTCACAAACTTCATGAGCATACTAGAAGTTATGTGAAGCAAAAGAGTGTGAGAATTCAGAGTTTAGTTACCATGGGTAAAGCAGTTTCAGAAGTAAAATATGAAGTCAGGCGCAGGTGGCTCATGCCTGTAGTCCTAACTACTCAGAAGGCTGAGATCTAAGGATTGAGGTTCAAATCAGCCCAGACAGGAAAGTCCAAGAGATTCTTATCTCCAATAAACCACCAGAAAACCAGAAGTGGTAGAGCACTAGCCTTGAGCTGAAGAGCTCAGGGACAGTGCTCAGGCCCAGTGTTCAAGCCCCATGACTGACTAAAAAAAAAAAGGAAAATGTGACCATACCTAAGCACCAGGGTAGATACAAGACCCTGGCATCCTAGAGAACACTGAAAAGAGGTGAAGGCAAGGAAAAAGGAAAGTTGATATAGATTTGACAATGTTCTTGGACATTTTTGATACTTTCCAGAGACTTAGCTTCCTGAGTTACTAACTTGTTGCCCTGGGCTAATGAGGTCTAAATTATTAAGCTAATAAAAGAAGTAAAGGACTTCTAGATGCCCCCAGAGCCAATTAATATATCAGATAATCAAATGGTAAAAGGGAGAAATGTATAACTAGCCATTCCTAATTATAAATGTATAATTAGACATTCATAGGCTCCCATACCATTGCATCTAGTAACTTCTCTGACATAAATTAACTATATACAATGGGTAAGTCTTTTTCTAAAACAATAACATGATTGCTAAGTCTTTCTGGGGCTAGTTATTTTGTAACAAGATTTTCTTTTACAAAAGGTAGGGCTAAAGGACTGCATCACCTCCTGGAAAAACCATATTTCACAGAGCTGAATTCACTGCCCTGAGAATGTTTGCTGGCATGTGAAGCAGTTTACTTCTGGGCTTGTACTGGTACATCATGACAATATAGAGCACTTCTTTCCCACCATTAACAGTTCATTGCACCTTCTGGTGCTGAAGGGGCTGAGCCAGATGGCAAGGAAGGATGGCAGAGTTGCCAGTCAACAACAGTGCTACCAATTGGGATGAGGCAACACATCAAGTGGTAGATGAGCCCAGCAGGCTCCAGGCCCACTACTACCAATATGGCTTTGTCTTTATATTTTTTACATAGGATAACCCATTTTTAAAAACTCATTTCTGAATGGAAATCCTGGTCGTGTATTACAATATTCTATAGTAGCCTTGAAAGCAATATTACATACCGACTTCCCGCCCAAAATGCAGGCTGAGATTTGCTAATTCTATAGGAAATTTGACTGTCCTGAGATACTTTTGAGATTCTTCAAGCCAATTAAAATTAACTTCAAATCAGATATAATAGGATTTTCAACTACTTGGTTTCTGGCATTGGGTGAAGAGATATGGCAAGGAGGAAAACAAGAACATGTCTTCAACTATTTGAATTATTTACAATTTGTTAATGAATATTATTTTTCTTATATTATTATTCAGGAAGGTCATCATCAGTTATTTGGACACAGTGTAAAATAGCACACAGAGTTCTTCTTCCTGAGAAGTATATGCTAGAAACAGGCTTTGAGGATCTTCAACTGACTGTACCACAATCTACCTTAAGCCAGATTGTTTGGAATCACTTCCCCAAGGCACCTAGTCTTTAATAAAATTAGCCCCTAAAAAGTACTAGAACAGAATCCACACTGATTTTTCAGAAATCCTCCAAAGTAAAAATTCCCAAATGTTCTTTAAATATTTTTTGCTCTATTTCAAACAAGTTACAGCAATCAAAGGTCCATCCAGCTATGCACCACAGTTGAAAATGTAATTTCTGACAATAATCCTACATTTAGAGTAGTGACACACATGTATAGAGAAGAACTGTTGCTAAGCTGCCACCACATGTGAGCAAAGAGTCCAACTGGAAAAACACATTTACTATAGGTAAGGAATATTCTAGAATAGTTTGTAGAATGGGTCACCAGTAACCTTTTGCAAGCAGATTTTAATTTCATCAATCATGTCTCCAGATTGATTAGTAGCAAAGCATGGGGTACACACAGTAAGAAAAGGAAAAAAAAAAGCCCTGGCATTAGAGCTGCACACTGAGTCTGAAGAGCCACAGCTCTCAGCAGAATTTCAGCCTAGAGTATGGAAAATCTGAAAATGTGAATTAGTGTGGTTTGGGAAAGCAGTTAGTGAGAAAATGTCTGGGGATAATGGATGGGAATGAATGAGAAACTGATAGACTAATTCTTGGAAGTCTTACAATGGGTAGTTGGCCCCCTGGATGTACATCCAGAAGCCACTGTATTCCTGGACATGTGGGGCTCAGAAACTTGGCTCCAAATTGACATAAAAGGAATTGAGATTGCAAGGTAAAAGATGGAGTTTAAAAAAAAAAAAAAAAAAAAAAAAAAAAAAAAAACTCTGAAAAGAAGCATTTGCAGAAGCCCAATCCTTTAAGAAAAGACACATGAAACAAGAATAGTGATTTCTGGGAATAGAGGAATCCAGATAGAACAGAAGGGCCACTTTGAGTCCCAGCTATGGACCAACTATAGGTATACCAGTATCTAGAATAATATCTGGGAAATAAGATGAGATCAATAGTTCCCACATGTGAATGCAACCTGGGCAATTTAAGGAGTATTAGACGCAATACAGAGATCTGGGCAGAACACTGGGAAGCATAAAATAGAGCAGAGGAGGAAGTATCAGTGACTGAAGATGAGGATCCACTGAGGACGGCAAAGCATGAGAACCAATTCCCACAAACCTCCTCCTGGAAGATCAGCCCAGCTTAAGGGTGTAAGTCAAAGACAAGGAATAAATAATCTTTCCTTTGCGGTTACAGACAGGAGGAACTTCCAGGGGCCCTGTGGTTGAAACAGTGACTCTTTCTAAGTATACACTTCTTGTTTCCCTTATCTTTTTCAAAGTTTAAACTTGAATCATAGAGTCCTGATACCTTTTCTAGAAAAC